TATTTGTCCTGAGGGGTTTATCTATCCTGGATTCCCTATTTCCAGCTCTTATCTATACCATATACGTGCTCTTGTCTAGCTGGATTTGTAAGGTAGAATTGGGGTCATGATAGTGGTGGGGAAGAAGCATTAAAAAACCAAAGCAAAGTTGTATGTTTTGTCTGTGCTATACTGCACTCTGACTGGCTCATCTCTTCCTTGTGACCCTTCTGTAAGGGGATGTCCAATTGTCTACAAATGAGCTTTGGGTCTCCACTCCACACTCCCCCTCATTCACCATGATATTCATTTTGTTCTGGGTCTTTGATACCTGATCCCATCAACTCCTCATGATCACACAGGCTGATGTGCTTCTTCCATGTGGGCTTTATTGCTTCTCAGCTAGATGGCCACTTGTGTATCTTCAACCCTTTAAGACCCCAGGCACTATATCTTTTGATAGTCGGCCACCATCAACTTTCTTCACCACATTTGCTTACGCACCTATTTTGTCTTCAGCAATTTTTGACACAAAAAATTAATTTAAAAAAATTCAAACACATAAAAATGAAATAAGTTCATTATAATCCTGCCTGTCCATATACCATTTATACTCGAGTATAAGTTGACTGCAATATCAGCCGAGGCACCTAATTTTACCACAAAAACTGCATTAAAAATGTGCTGAACAACTCGGCTTACAATGAGTATATACAGTAAATAGAAAGTGTTGGCATTTTGGTGCATGTTATGTTTTCAAATGTTTTCCTATATGCTTTTTGTTTTATTTACAAAATTCTGGTCACACTGTACAAATAATTTTACTACTTGTCTTTAATACCTGAACACCATAAGAAGAAAACTTTCCCTTACAGTAAACACATTATGGAAATTTTAAGAAGTTGTTTCAGTGGCAAAAAGGCAATATTTTCAAAAGGTGAAACTTGCCTTTTGAAGATTAGCTTAATGTATAATATGTCTCAGAGCCTGTTCTTTTTTAACTTAATAAAGTAAATCCAACCTTGGATTTACTTTTAGTGAAGAACTAAAAGATACTTAAGCTCTTTTGTATAGAAATTCATTAGACCCTAGGTATCTGTATTACTCATTGAAGTTGCCAGGATTATCCCATTTACTTTCTGGAAGTAACAGTTCTTTTATCACCTGTAGCTTAGAGGATTTAACATAAAAATGATTATTTTTTATCACTGATATTATTTACTAAAAGAATTTATAAGCTTGATTTTAAGTAAAATTAGATAAAGCCAGACTTTCGCTTAGACTAATAATACATTGTATATTTATTTTTGACAGGTGTGTCTATTTTAAGTTATTTGGGTAAAGGTTTGAGATCTTGATCCATATTATAAAGGCAGTATAGCAGAGTGGTAAAATGTCCAAAGTATAGGTGTCATTGCAATCTGATGTACTGCTCTCTCAGTTACCTCATCTATGAAATGGGATTCTTACATAATCCTCTGGGCACTACTGCCCTAAACATAAAAAAGGTCCCTGATCTTGCTTTTTGCATGTCGGTTTTTATTCCTTTCAAGTAAATTAAACTTATTTTAAATAAAATTTACGAAGATCTGATTCATGCATACACTTTTGAGTCTTTAACACTAAAATAGCAATTACTTCAATTGATTGATTTAGTTACTAGAAGTCAAATACATGACCAGATTAACCAAGTCAGTTATTTTGATATAAACTCTTGACTTTCACGCTTCTGTGAACACTACACAGGATAGACAATCCTATGATTCACCTTGTCAGCTTTCCTTAACACTGAAAAACAAACAAAAACCCCACAACTCACTAGACTAGAACATCTGCTGCTACTGTTAAACAGTGGGTTGGTGTGAGTTTTCAAGTGACATAAAATATTAATTAGTGACTATCAAGTCTAAACATTGATCCTATAAATGACCTGAACATAGTTATAAATAACCAGTCTGTGTTTTCTATCACTGAAATCTGCTTTCTCTCACTTTGCTCCTGAATGGAGGCTTAGGTATTGCTTGAGACAGTAAGTCAGGAGGTAACTAAAGATGCTCAGTGCCAGTGATGCTTTTCTTTTCTCTTACAGATCCCGACTTTACTTACCTTGGAGGTATTTTAAATCCCATCCCAGGTTTAGTATATTACCTCTTTTTTTCTCAAGGTGTTTTTGATTATTCTTATTTTCCTTTGAACGTCCTTCATTCATTCTTTCTAGATTGCCAGTTTGAGCTCTCAGGAGCTGATGGAATAGTGCGCTCTAGTCAGGTGGAACAAGAAGAAAGAACAAAACCTGGCCAAGCAGTTGATTGCATATGGACAATTAAAGCTACTCCAAAAGCCAAGGTAGTGTTATGTCTTGAGTAATTTCAGAGGTGAATATAGAAAGATGTGATTTTTGTAATGATTTGATTTATGCAAATGTTTATTGATGATATAAAGTGATATCACAAGTAAGATTCTATTTTAGTCATTGAACTAAAGTTTTAGCATTATTAAACTATAGACATTTCAAGAATATCACCCATATAGTAAGTTGGTTTATTTTTTAACTTGTATATTTCTAGTTTGTGAAAGCAGTATGAGTATGATACTGATTTGTAAAATCTTTTTGTGGGATGGAAAAACTGGCCACAAGAGTTTAAAAAAAGGTCTGTGTAACTGAACACAAACATAACTGAATAAACACAAAAAAGTCTGGTTTCTTACCATGTTCTATGTTAATCATGTATCGCTTTTACTAGAAAATACTACAGAGAAGAGAAGAATGTTTTAAAGTTTTACTTTTGATTGAAATTAATCCCTAACTGTGTGTGTGTGTGTGTGTGTGTGTGTGTGTGTGTGTGTAAAAGAGAAGAGGTAGTTTGAGTGGTATTAACAAATTATAAAAATCAGATTTGGGTAACCAATTATAAGATCTACATATAACCTTCTCTCTGGAGGTCGGTCAACAGAAAAGTGGGTGACGTTGGACTGTGTAAGATATGACAAAATAACAATGACTTGTAAATTATCACGGGTTCATGAGGGAGGGGGGAATGGGGAAGGAGGGGGAAAAATGAGGAGGAGCTGTTGCCAGGGGCTGGAGTGGAAAGCAGATGTTTTGAGAATGATGATGGCATCAATGTGCAAATGTGCTTGACACAAAGGATGTATGGATTGATTGTGATAAGCGTACGAGCCCCCAATAAAATGATTTAAAAGAAAGATCCCTTTTAATATTTACTTGAAAAAAATCAGATTTATGATTAGAGTAAGATGATGAATTATGTCAACCCCTGTCAGATTTTAATTAATGGTTACCCCAGAAGTGTTGGGGTATATCTCTGCTCCATCAAACTCAAGCGCTCACTGCAATCACCGAGTCAATTCTCACTCTTAGTGATACTTTGGACAAAGTAAAACTTCCACTATGGTTTCTGAGACTGAAAGTCTTTACAGGAGTAGAGCGCCCATCTTTTTTTTCCTGCAGAGGGGCTGGTTGCTTTGAACTTGCTGGCCTTGTGGTTAGCAGCCCAAGATGTAACCTACTATGCCAACAGGACTCCTCTGTGCTCCAAAGGCCTTTCAGTGTTTGATTTTCAGAAGTAGGTTGCCAGGTCTGTCTTCTGAGGCACCCCTGTATGGCCATGAACCATCAGCCATAAATGGCTAGCAACTAAGCAAAAAAAATTGAGAAACATTCGATAAAAATATAACAAAATAACCTTATTAAAGCATTGTAAGTTCCAAAGAAAGAGGGTAATTATTTTATTTTTACATTTTATTTATTTTTAAAAATCATTTTATTGGGGGCTCATACAATTCTTATCACAATCCATACATCCATCCATTGTGTCAAGCACATTTGTACATTTGCTGCCATCATCATTCTCAAAACATTTGCTTTCTACTTGAGCCCTTAATATCAGCTCCTCATTTTCCCCCTCCCTCCCCGCTCCCCCTCCCTCATGAACCCTTGATAATTTATAAATTATTATTTTGTCATATCTTACACCATCCAATATCTCCCTTCACCCACTTTTCTGTTGTCCATCCTCCAGGGAGGAGGGTATATGTAGGTCCTTGCAGTCGGCTCTCCTTTTCTACCCCACCTTCCGTACACCCTCCAGGTATCCCCACTCTCACCACTGGTCCTGAAGGGGTCATCTGTCCTGGATTCCCTGTGTTTCCAGTTTCTCCCTGTGTTTCCAGTTTCTATCTGTACCAATGTACATCCTCTGGTTTATCCAGATTTGTAAGGTAGAATTGGGATCATGATAGTGGTGGGGGGAGGAAGCATATAAGAAGTAGAGGAAATTTTTATGTTTCATTGTTGCTACCCTGCACCTTGACTGGCTTGTCTCCTCTCCTCAATCCTTCAGTAAGGGGATGTTCAATTGCCTACACGTGGGCTTTGGGTTTCCACTCTGCACTCACCCTCATTTACAATGATATGATTTTTTGTTCTTTGATGCCTTCAAGCCTTTAAAGACCCCAGACGCTATGTCTTTTGATAGCCGGGCACCATCAGCTTTCGTCACCACATTTGCTTATGCACACATTTGCCTTCAATGATCATATCGGGGAGGTGGGCACCCTCTGATGTGATTTTTTGTTCTTGAATGTCTTAATACCTGGTCCCTTCTACACCTCGTGCTCATACAGGCTAGTGTGTTTCTTCCATGTGGCTTTGATGCTTCTGAGCTAGATGGCCGCTTGTTTACCTGCAAGCCTTTAAGGCCCCAGATGCTATAATCTTTTGATAGCCGGGCATCATCAGCTCTCTTCACCACATTTGTTTATGCACACATTTGTCTTCAGCGATCATGTCGGGTAGGTGTGCATCATGGAATGTCAATTTAATAGAACAAAGTGTTTTTGCATTGAGTAAGTACTTGAGTGGAGGTCCAATGTCCATCTGCTTCCTTAATACTAAACCTATAAACATATGCACATATATCGATTTCCCCACCTATTTCCTATATAAATATTTTTACATATGTACATGCCTGTATTTAGACCTCTATAAATTGTTTCCTAGTTTTTTCCTCTATTTCCTTTTACTTTTCTCTTGTCCCACTATCATGTTCAGCCTTCATTTGGGTTTAAGTAATTTCTCGCAGTTACATTGCCCTTGCTGAATCCCTACCAGGCCTCTCACACCCTCCTTGCCACTAATTTTGGATCACTTGTTGCTCCCTTGTCCTTGGGTTGGTCAACACCACCTCCTTATCCCTGCCTCTCTGAAAGAGGGTAATTTTTATGGAGTAGAAATGTAGAGGTGTAACACCTAGAAATCAAAGTCACTAATCTACCAGGAAAATTGAATTTTATTTTTTTTTTGTTTTAATATAGCATCACAATGTATAAAATATTTTATATTTTCCAGGGAAAATTAAAAAGGGTTCAATTATAGGGGTAAGTTTTATGCGCCTTTCTTAGTAATTAACAAATCAATTTGAAAATATAATTCCTTAAGAAATACTACAAACCAAGATTTGTGTGATGTAGCTAAAGTACTAAGAGAACATTTAAGACCATAAAGTTTCCCTTCAGAATAAAAACAAGTTAAACATGAATGAACTAAAATTAAACTCAGGAAATTAAAAGAATGGAAAAATAAATACAAAGAAAGTAAAAGGGTACAAGTAAAAGCAGAAATTGATGGAATTTATGACTAAGATATGAGAAAATTAAAACCAAAATTGGCTCGCTCTTACCAATTAACAATTGCTTGGCAAGATTGTGCTAGAAGAAAATCTCATGTCCAGCATTAGAAGTGGGGAAACCTCATGACCTCAATTCTCATAAGAAAACCAGGTGTAAAGTTAACTTTATAATTCAGAGAAGTCATTAGAATATTTTCATAGATAAAGGATTAGGGGAACAAATAACAAATACTAGAAAGAATATCTAGATTTAAATAGTTATAAGAAGGCAAAGGAGCCTCTGGATTTAAGAAAGCATACTACAAAGAAAAAAGTAAGGACTGTGAAGGACAAGTGGAAATTATAAGAGTTTCATTGGCAACTTCATCCACATAGCATATAATTCAGCAGTTAAGTCATATCGAGGAGAGTTGTACAATTATTACCACAATCTGTTTTAGAACATTATCTTCTTTGTACTCATTGTTATTAGTGTTGTCATTTTTTTTAATTGTCAAAAATAAAATATTCTCCAATTCTACATGTATAATTCAATGCCATTGAGTATGCTCTTCATATGCAATCATTATTGTTATCCCTCTTTTTAAAAAATATTTTATTTATTTTAATCATTTTATTTGAGGTTCATGCAATTCTTATCACAATCCATCCATGGTGTGTCAAGCACATTTGTACATTGCCCTCCTCATTCTCAGAACATTTGCTTTCTCTTAAGCCCTTGGTATCAACTCCTCGTTTTTCCCTTCCCACCCCCCTCCCCCCTCCCTCATGAACCCTTGATAATTCATAAATTATTATTATTTTGTCATATCTTACACTGTCCGACGTCTCCCTTCACCCACTTTTCTGTTGTCCATCCCCCAGGGAGGAGGTTATTTGTAGATCCTTTTAATCGGTTCCCCCTTTCTACCCCGGCCTCCCAGTATCGCCACTCTCACCACTGGTCCTGAAGGGATCATCTGTCCTGGATTCCCTAAAAACATTTTATTAGGGGCTCTTACACTTATTATTACAATCCATAGTTGTACAATTGCTGCCCTCATCATATTTAATACATTTTCTTTTCTTCTTGAACTCATTGATATCAGCTCCCATTTATCCTCCCTCCTCCACCCTACCACCCTCCGCAGCCCTCAGTATATTATATATTAATATTATTAATTTTGTCTTCACTTACACTTCCCATTTATCCATTCTCCCTAAATTCTGATGTCCCTTCCCTTCAAATGGAGTTAAACAGTCATCATAGCTGTTTCCCCTCCCATCCTTTTTCCCCTTTTCGTCCCGTATCCTCATCAAGTCAAGACTCCCTTTGCTGTTTCTGAGGGGATAATTTATCTTGGATTTCATGCACTGAAAGATCTAGGATGTACCCATACACATATGCAGGACCAGCAAGGTTAGTGAGGTAAAACTAGGGCCATAGTAGTGGGAGGAGGAAATGGTGGACTTATGGGCTCGGGCAGCACTGGGATCGGATGTTTTCTTGATGCGCACTTAAGCTTTATTTAAAACTCTGTCTTATACATGAGTTTCAGTGGATTTGTTTCTTTAAACTACCCAGACTAATCACTGATACACTGATTCTTCATTTCTTCTAGTCTGTTGGTGTGGTCTCATCTTATTCTGTGATTCTGTTGCCTCGTGCCTTAACTCTTTTATTTCCCTTTGGTATGTGGACTGTATCTTCTCTAT